TATATATATATATATATATATATTTATTATGTTGAGATGCCATATCCAGTGCAATTTTAGCCAAATTTATAGAATTGAACAAGATTAAATTATAAATATAATAAATATTTTCTCCTAATAATAAAAGCTTTTTAATTTTTGGGTTGACATTTTATATTCTACATCTAGTTTTTCTTTCTACCTCATTTTCTTTATATTTTTCTTTTCGTTTTTTCTCACATTATTGGTGACATCTTTTAATTTTTTTTTCTTCCTTTCTTTCATTTTTTTTTAAATTTCTTTCTTCCTTCCCTCCTACCCTAAAATTGGATTTAATTTTAACATTTCCCTTCTTATTGATATGCTTCATTATGATCCTATTTGGTAATTGACTTTCAAAGGATTGATCACATAGAGCAGAAAATGTATCCTTTTTGCTTTCGTCTTCTTTCTTCGTTGATTAAATTCTTCTCTGCACTGCATGTTACTTATAATTGACCATTTTGTTGTTTTGTCTTCCCTGCAACCAACTGTATGGACCGATTTATAAATTTCTTCAGACCGTCTTTTATGCATTTTAGAGCAAAGTATTAATTTTGGCAACTAATTGTTTACCTAACAAAACCCAAATCTTTGTCAGGCCTATATTTTTTTTTAAGGTAGGCATACAGGTGAGGGAACAAATAACGATAAATTCATAAATAACTGTAGCTAGTTGCTAGCATAAAGTCAAAACGAATCTGGTTTCAAAATGTAACACAAATTTGACTTGAAAATTTGCATCTGGCAAACCTTCCCAGCACTACTTGGATAATTTGTTTAGAAGATCACACAATTCAAGGAAGCATTATTAAATGCAACTTAGGATATGGGAACCCAGATTGAATGCAATTAAGTGTGAACTGTTTGTTTGATAGAAGTTCAACTCAAATGAAAACCAGTGTAATAATATATTCAACCAAAATTCATTACGTAAGTTAGTTTCACTTTTACAATAATAATTTTAAAAATTATGAGTTTAATACTTATAAATCAACATATCAATTAATCAAAAATCATAATTAATATGATTTTTAAGATTGTTATCATAAAAGTCAACAAATTTATTCAATAATTTATATTAGTATAAAACCCTTTTAAACTGATAGTAGATGGCAATTAAACTCATCATGAATTCAGGTGATGGAGGATGTGACTCTGCCAAATGGAACAGTGCTAAAGAAAGGGACAAAGGTGATATATGCAATTTATGCAATGGGGAGAATGGAAAGCATATGGGGGAAGGATTGCAAGGAGTTCAAGCCAGAAAGGTGGCTGAGAAATGGAAGGTTCGTGAGTGAGTCTGCATACAAATTCAGTGCCTTCAATGGAGGACCTCGCTTGTGCTTAGGCAAGGATTTTGCATACTATCAGATGAAATATGCTGCAGCCAGCATCATATTCCGCTACCATGTTAAGGTGGTCGAGAATCACCATGTGGTGCCAAAGCTTGCTTTGACCCTCTACATGAAGCATGGATTGAAAGTCAACCTTCACAGGCGTGGTGTGGCAGAAATTGAGAAGCACTTCAATGTTTGATTATATATATAGAGAGAGAGAGAGAGAAATGAATTAGTAATATTGTTATGATTTGTTTCTTGTATGGGTGTGATACTTGTGAGAATGATTTTTATGTTTTTCAATGATATGCAAGGATGGATGTGAGAATTGTGTTATGCTAAAAAAATTGGAGGTAGTTTCCTAAAATATCAATATACCATTTTCGTAATAATCCGAGTAGTATTCATATTTAGAAATTAAATAAGGTGTTAAGTTTAAAAAAAATATAAAAAAGGATATATGTATTTCCAAAAATATAAATATTTTATAAACACTTAGTATTTGATCTAGTTTTTTTTTACTTAATTAAAAGGAGAATGTGTCAAAAAAATTTTGAGAAAATTACTTAAAAAATTGAAAAAAATAATTTTTATTAAAAAAACAAAGGGAAAAAGTAAGTTAATTGATCGGTAGATTTTAAAAATAAGTTAAATATCTTAATTTCTCTTCTCTCATTCATAACTAATCGATATGAAACATTGAAATAAAAAAAAAAGTAGTTTTTTTAATTTTTAAACTAAAATTTTAAAATAATTTTACTTTATTTTTACCTTCTATATAAAAAAAATTAACCTAAAATGATAGCTTTGGATTAATTTCGAAAATTACTAATTTGAAAATTAGTTTCTTTCTTTTAATTTTTGTAATGTATTTTTTATTAATTTAATAAAGGGGAAAAAGCCACCTGTTTTATGTCGATCTGACATATTTTTTGAATTCTATATCTCGCACAAACCCTATAATTCATCCCCATTCTAAAGCCAAAAAGAATCACATAGTTCGCATAAGTTAGTTGTTGCTTTAATTACACTTCTTTAGTATTTTATTCATAATAAAAGAAAAAGTTTAAGTCAATAAGATGTCAATCACAAATCATCATATATCTTCACTTTTACAAAAATTACGTTAAAAGTTATATCAACAATAACATTTTATTAAATTACAGTGTAAAAGCTTTTACATTAATGACAATGTCAAAATCATTAAATCTTAAAATGTAATGAAAACTAAAAAATTAAGAGATTCTTTAAATAAATTGTGGACTCAATAAATTTTGTAATTTCTAATAAATTTTAATTAATAAAAAGAAATATGTTTAAAAGAGTGTGTATCTATCATTTCTCATTTTAATATTGATATGACTCTCTTTAAATTTTGTTTTTCCAATCTTATAAGTATAATTTTTATATTTATCAACTTATGCAATATTGAATTTTAAATATTGTGATTTTAAGCTCAATTAGATTAAGAGTTTAATGGATATATATTTTCATTATATAAAAAATTACATTATAAATCAATTAAAAATTGTTTGATATAAGTAAGGCAATTTACTAAAGTCAAAAAATTACATATATAATATAAGTAATTAAAAGACAGTGTAAAAATAACTTAAAAGTTTTGGTGTATATCATATTTTTATACATTATTATTTTAGTACTACATTATTAAATTATTAAGCACAACCAAAAAAAATTTATCGTTCACATATTAATACTACAAAATCATTGGTGTTCAAAAACATTATACTTGTAACGATTGTAACAACCTTTATATAAAAACTTTAATATCAATTGAAACATCAACATGAATTGTTGGTGTCCAAACATGTATGGTAAAAAATGTAATTACTATAAATACATTAAATATTACTAGTAAAGCTCATTTTTATTAAAGTAACATGTCTCTTACGTTCATTCTTTTTACATGAATTTATTTTTTCATGTCTCTTCCAAATTTTTTCTCTTTCTAAAGTTAAAAATAATGTGATAACTTTCATGACTTATTACTTATTTTATACCTCTTTCAATTCATATTTTCTTTAAAAAAATCAATAAAACAACAATAACATGTGTAAAAACACCTTAAAATTTTAGTACACATCCTATTTTCTTGAGATAATTAATATTGTAAAGATAACTTTTTAATTGTCCTTATACTTTAATATTTTAACATATTTAATATTACAAAAACATCAATGCTCAGAAAGATTTTACTTACAATGATTGTTTCTATAGTCCTTTTATAGAAACTCTAACATTAATAAAGACATAAATGTGAAATTGTGGTGTAACATCCGAATTTTTTTACTAATATTACGAATAATTATTATTTATTTTTATATTTATGAAGATTGTTTCCTTATAATTATTTTGATTAATTAAATGGGTTTGATTGAAGTTTTAAAGGTTTTTAATAATAAATATTTTGTTATAATTATTATTTGAAGAAAATCATGTTTAAATTGTATTGATATTTTATTTTAATTTGATATATATATATATATATATATATATATGTTATTTATTTATTAATTAGTAATTTTGGATTTTCATAGCCCTGGAACAGACCGTTTCACTTTGGGAACGGGCCGTTCCAACTCGAGCATTCATGGGTAAAATTTCAATCCAGAAAGAGTCGTTCCACTTTGGTAACGGGCCGTTTCGGATTTCGTTTTAAAGAACAAATTATTGACCCAGAACGGGCCGTTCTGGTTTTGGAACGGATCGTTCTGGTTTTGGAACGGGCCGTTCTGGGAGAGGCTTTTCTACATGTTCTATGTGCCCAGAACGGGTCGTTCCGGATTCGGAACGGCCCGTTCTGGCCAAATCCTGAAACCTATAAATGCATTGCGGCACTCTAGAAAAACACATTTATTCACTTTTAACCTTTTTCTTCTACACTTTCTGGAGACCAAGGGGAACCCGGAGGAGGAGTTCCTGCTTTAGTTTCAACCCCTATTTATCCAGGTAAGGGGAGAGTGAGAAACCTCGCTTTGGGTATGGGAATATCTGTTGGGTAGTGAGATTGGCCCTCAATCCTATGTTTGTTGTATTTTTGTATGCTTATGTATGAGGATTTTTCCCAATTGTATCTGTTTTGCCTATTATTTTCTTATATGTAATTAGTTGTATGAATTAAGATCTCTATGGTTTCCTATGGGAAACCCTAAGGGAATGCATTGGTGATTGTAGGAGAAGATGGTTTGAAGAGGTAATTGTATGAGTGAATTGTGTTGTTTTAAATGTTTATTGTATGAATTAGAGTGCTCTGTGGGTTCCTGTGGGAACCCTATGAGAAACAGACAAAATAGAAATGTTTTCTGTTTTGCTATCTAATTTCTCTATTGTATTCCTTGTTGAATGTAATGTGTAAATATGTGATTAATTTTTAGAATAAATATGTTTTGATTATGATTTAGAGTGCTTTATGGTTTCCTACGGGAAACCCTATGAAAAATAGGCAAAATATGAATATTTTCTGTTTTGATTTCTGATTGTTTTGTTATATTCCTTGTTTGATGAGATGTAAAAATATGTATTTAATTTTATAAATAAATGAGTTTTGATATAAATTAAAGTGCTCTGTGGAGGCTTTGTGAATATGATGAGATAATGTGATAATGTGATAATGTGATATGATGATGTAATGTGAAATGTGATTGAGACATGAGATATGAAGATGTGATGATAATAATGTGATATGAGAATGCATAGAGTCTTGATTGACATGCATCATGTGCATAAATGTTTTTAAGGGTACGATATGGAATACATCGTCAGAGAAGGCCCCCTAGTGTAAAAGCTTTGGGGATTAGTCCTTGGGGATAGCTCGGTTTGGAAGTCTCAGTCTCGCCCATTGTGTGCATGGGATGTATCTTGCGCGGCTTAGCTATCCCGACGAGACTCTGGTAGTATATCCTTCTAGTGAGAGTGCGTAGAGGGTGTGACCCGGCATGTACTCCTAGACTACTCTTCGTGTATTGCTAGCGGCAATATGCCATGTGATGTTTTACTGGCGCCACATGCATGATAATATGTAGT